AAGGGGTTTTTTATTTAGGGGTCACAATCCTCTGCACGAGCAGGGAACAGGAACCAGATCCAGCAAGAGTTAGATAGATAGATAGATAGATAGATAGATAGATAGATAGATATAGATGATAGATAGATAGATATAGATGATAGATAGATATAGATGATAGATAGATATAGATGACAGATAGATAGATAGATGATAGATAAATAGAGATGATAGATAGATAGATATAGATGATAGATATATTGATAGATATAGATGATAGATAGATATAGATGATAGATAGATAGATATAGATGATAGATAGATAGATAGATAGATAGATAGATAGATAGATAGATAGATAGATAGATAGGCTGCACAAGCTTTATGTCTACATTTATAGCACAAGAGACCACACCCAAATGAGTTAGCATCTTAGCGGCTATTGACTGAAGGAGTCCCCACAGCAATAGCCTTCTCCTGACTCCCTCTTTCTCCTTTTGTCCTTCTAGTTTATTTGGAGAACCTGGTATATTGTCCAAATGGTTTTTTCCTCCTCCTTTCTCTGGAAATCTGAATAACCCTAACTTTATGTGAGACCCTGAACCAGTTCCTGCACATAAGCTTGGGAGGTGATGGCTAGGTTTGCCTGGGCTCACTCAAATGTCCTCTCTCACATTTGTTCATGCTGAGCTTCCAGAAGTCAGCCGTGACAGCTGAAATCTTCCTGCCTCTGCACTTGTTTCTGCAAAGTTTATGCTCATGGCTTCTGTTTGGCAAGGTATAATTCTCTGATTATCTCGGCAGTCTTTCCCATTTTGTCAGTAATGGTTGCCTCTGTTAAAACCTGTTGTGTGATTCCTCCTGGGAAACGCGAGAAAACGCACGAGAACAGAGAAATGATTCCACCCTAATGCATGCATTTAAGCGGTCTTCCTTACAGGAGTGTAGAAGGCATGTGTGACTCTAGGGCAGCTCTGCCACTGAGAAACCCACACAGCATGTGTGAGGACTTTAAAAAACTTTATTTCTTGAGTTCCCTACAGAACTTCCAGGTAACTGCAGAACTAGATGGAGAATCTCTTATCTCCTCCAACTGTTACTGGCTATATTGCCCCTGAGTGGGGTCTTAATGAATTCGTACCTTTTAGGAACTTCCTGAGTCTTGTATGCTTGATGTACATCCTGGGCCTTGTATGTTTCCATGGCTTTCTGATTTTATGAGCCTCTCTCCTCTCTCAATGAGTTGATTTCAGTTTAGAGAAAACAAGCACACAATATCACTTTTCTGACAGGCCTAGAAAAGATTGTCACCATTTCAGTTTATCTTCACGTGCTACAAGGTGTTACAGTGTTGACTTACAATTGCTCAGCTTTGCACTTCCCTGTGCTCTGTGGGATGACCTGTGGTTTTCGAGTGTTGATCCAGTGAATACATTGTGCATGACATTGTGGCACATTTGAATCTGCCTAAACTCTGAAAAGGTACAATAAAACTGCAGGAAATACAAAAGATCCCGTGCCCAGCAGCAGCACTTGCCAAAATAAGAACAAAAATGGAAGTTGTTCTGACTAGATCAGAGAGTAGGGAGGAGAGCCATGAAGGGCTAGGGCTCTACATGGCTGCAGACCATAAACTCTCTGTGCTTACAGCCTGGTAATCTATAAAGATAGTCATTCTCTCTAATAATGATTTCGTCCTCGCTTCTGGTAGCTGTATGACTTTTTGAACTTCTCAACCTTTAATTCTATCTAGTTTGGAACAACATATATTGTTCAGGTATGCCGCTCCCTTTGGGGGTTGTTTTCTTTCAAGCCACCGCATCACGCATCCATCTGTCTGTAATTGTGTATGTCTATCCATTGTCTGTCCATCCATCATCTACCTGTCTCTGCCTTGCCATGTTATTTATTCACCTAGACTCAACCATGGAGAGAAAAGACATGGAGGGTGCGAGTCAAATGCCTTCACTGCAATCGTGGCTGCATTGTGGCAAGTGGCTGAGTGAGGGATGGACGCCTAGTCCTGGTGTCCTACGATTGCCTTTCGGATAATTCCTTCTTTTGAATATGCTCCGTTAACCAGTCTTTAACAGTGTGCAGGATGGGGGAGACCTCTTAGTTCCCTTCATTTGAGAATGACTTCAGATCCTCGCTGCCTCCAGTCACATCTGGTGGTGATGAGGATAGGATTGGCAGTTAATAGTTTTTCCTTTTGCATTTGAAGAACGCTGTACACTTTCTTGTGTCCACAGACTCAGGTAAGAGGTTGTCTAAGTTAGTTTTGTTTGTAAATAGGCAGGTGTAGTTTTGCTTGAAGCACTCTTAATATTTTTTTTCTGGTTTCAGTTTTAAGACACTTAGTGTGTTGGGGGGGTTATTCTCTTTTCAATTTTCATACATTTCTCAAAAGTAGATCCTTTGTACCTTTCCTTTAATTTTGTAGTTTTTAGTCTGTACTTCTTAGAAATTCTTTCAAGCTTACTGCCTGCTGTCCTTGTCCTTGTTCTTAGTGAGATGTTGGTTTTGTGGCTGTTATTGTTACTGCGCACAGATCCCTCACACTATTCAATTTCTCATTCAGTAGATTGTCTGTCTGCTCTTGGTATTGGATAGAGTCTTTTGAAGCATTCTCAGGCCCACTGATTGCATCCTCTGTCATTTCTGTTCTTTCCTTTGCCATGTTTCTTGCTTGATCTTCCTTCAGTTCTGTAATTCTTGTCTTTTAAACAACATCGCTTTGTTTGCTTGGATAGCTAGTTCTTTCAGCTTCTCTGAAGAGCATTTCTGAGACCACAGAAACGTTTTTATGACAGCTGCTTTAAATTCTTGTCATATAATTCCAGCCTGTGCATCATTAGCATGAGTCAGTTTTCTCTCCGAGTTGTGATTTCCCTTGTTCTTGGTATGATGGTGGCTCTTAGCTGCATCCTGGATGTTTCCTAATTATGTCAGGAGCCTCAGTTCCTAGTTAGCTTTTCCTTTTATTAGATAACCACTGTGTTTAGGGCTTCCATTCAGGTCATATACTACTTTTGGTTCCTATGGTTCCAAAGGCAGCTGCCTTTTATAACCACTCATGTTATTTGGCACTGTCTCAAGGTGCTGTCTTTCTTTTCAGCTTCATTTACTTGGCTGAGTCTGTCTTAGAGGGAGGAAGGAGGGAAAGAAGGAAGGAAGGGAAGGAGGGAGGCAGGAGAGAGGGAGGAAAGAAAGAAAGGATGAATGGAGGGAGGGAGGGAAGGATGGGATGTGTATTTCTGATTGTTGAAAGGGCTCCTCACTAATACCCTTATTGTTGAGACATTGTTGAGACTCCTATGGGCTTCACTGAAGGGATGAGTCCGTTTGAGCCACTTCCTGTTGTCATCTTGAGTATAAATAAATGCAGTAAATGGTGACTTTGGATCATATTCTTTTGAAAGATAGGGCCGCAGTACAGGCCTATTGCTCTATTGTTATTCCAAATTTGGAGCTCCATACCTCTCGCCTCCCTCTTAGCACTTGAAGAGTTTTCCTTTGCTTGCTTTTTGTGTTATTTCCATGGTTATAGCTCTTGGCAGGAGAGAGCATGCATTCACAAGTTGAAACCAGCCTAACACCGGCTTTGCAATGTCCTGCACTGGAGGTCTTACTGATGTGTCCACAGTCACAGTGCTGCACTCAGCATTCTGTCTGACCCCGGGCAATCTGTCTCAGCCTCTGTCTCAGACAGTTCTTTCCTTAGATTCCCCCACAAGCTGTAGGCCATTCACTGGAACGGTTCGCTCATGGTACCTTCCGGAATAACCAGACACAGAGAATGCACACACACTTACCTAGCTACATTGTGGAAGGACCATCAGCTCTTCCTGATCTTCTAAGTGGAGACTCTCCAATGACCCTAGACAGCTTTCTGCCTTTTGCCTCCTGCTGTGTAGTTTGAATAGGAAAGGCTCCCATAGGTTTATATGTTTGAATGCTTCACCCATAGGGAGTGGCACTACTAGGAGGTGTGGCCTTGTTGGAGTAGGTGTGCCATTGTTGGAGGAAGCGTGTTATTATGGAGACAGGCTTTGAGTCTGACCGCTCAAGCTACACCCAATGTAGCACACAGTCTCCTTCTGCTGCCTGTGAATCAAGACCTAGAACTCTCAGCTTCCTGTCCAGCACCAAGTCTGCTTGCACACTGCCCTGCTGTGCTATAATGTGGCTATAATGACTAAATTAAAAGTGTAAGCCAGCCTCAATTAAGTGTTCTCCTAATTAGAGTTGCCATGGGCCATGGTGTCTCTTTACAACAGAAGACAAGCTGTCACCCTACTGTGGGTTCCTATGTGCCCCCAAATGCCAAAGGCCAAGACAGATTCTTTGAAAATGGTGCTCTGTGCCTCTTTGGAGCTCAATAAACAGTAGGCAGGAAAGAGAGCCAGGCTTTCAGAACCTGAGTTCTAAATGTGGTCTTGGGGATGCTTTATTTTCACTCATTGGTAGAGGGAGCAACTTTCTTCAGTGACAGAAACGGAATCAAAGCACCACAACCTTGCAGATATGTGTGCAGTTCCCGTGCTTCTTTGGCAAACTCTGGTTTTCAGTGTGCTCAGGTCACTGGGGATAGTATCTATTTTCTATGACGTGGTTAACAAATGCCATGTATTGCTATTTCTTAGTGTTAAGCTTGTTTTGATAAATAAGAATAACTAAGATATTTGTGCTAATGTCTATACATTTAAAACTCTTGGTAAAACAGTATAATTGTTAGGTTTTTGTCTTACAGTCAAAGATAATGATTTGGCAAGGTCCAGAAAAGAGAGCTCCAGAAGCCACTTTTCAGAATTTGATGCAATTAAAGGTTTCCGGCATAAAGAGCTTAACATTTGGGCTCCTGGGCAAACAGCCCGGGGCTGAACAAAGCCAACAGCCAAGGGTCATTGTTCTATTTTACTACTTAAAAAAATCAGCAGCTGCAAAGTGGTCGGATTAGTTTGGGGAGTCCTGGAAAATTGCAGAAGAATGTTATTTTCATTCCTGGATATTTGCTGCAGTGCCATCTCCCAAGCTGCTCCCATCCGATGCCACACACATGCTTGCTCCGTCTGAGTGTGTCCTCTGCAGACTTCTTCTTGCACTAACTTGCTTTAGGTTGTCTGCTCACGGTGTCGGTCCCTGGCTGACCTTGCCTCCTTGCACGCATTGCCAGACAAGCAGCAAACTCCTCAGAAGCAGTCAAGATTTCCATATCACCGTTCCACCTCTCTGGAGCCCAAAGAGGGCTTCTCCTTAAGCGGTGAGTTTGGGATGAGTGCTGTTGTCTTGGCTAAATTACTGTTGCATATACAGGAGCCTGGGATGAGCAGGGCATTAACAATGCAGACAGGAAATAGATGCATAAAAAGGGAGATCTGTTTGAAATGCTAACAGCGGAATAAATACATAGAAAAGTTTAAGCGCCCCTCAGAAACTGACCCCTCAATCCATCTGCTTTAGACATCTGTTAGCATCCTCTGTGAAGTTTTAACTGTGAGCCAGGAGTCAAGATTGCTTCAGTCTTACACAACAGAAACTCAAATTGGAAGACTAGACTGCGGTGGATGCCAGAGACATAAAGCTCTCCAATTTCTGAATTAAATGGGAACATGTAATAAATTAAGGAGAAAATACAATTCATGGCAAAGTAATCTAATTGATTCTTTTGCAATACTTGAGAACATAGTGCAGCTAAAGTTTAAATCAATTTCCCAAGGTAATCAATATGACAGAAGGATATGAGAAATAAAAACAAAACCCAAATGTCTGGAACTGCAGAACTATTAAAAACAGGCAAGTGCACAGCCTTAAGCCTAGATCCGATCCTGGCCTCCTCTGCCAGAAGCATAGACACACGTCAGGGATCTCAACAGCTTTGAGTTCGCTCTCGGCTCCTGCACTGCCTTGTGTAGCTGGCAGGTTCTACTCTACTCACTCAGCATCTTTCAAATATGTTGACGCTCCCCTGTCCTTTCCTCTTTATTTTCCCTTTCCATCCCTTCTCCATATAGCAGTAGCTTTCCGCAGCCAGGCATTAGTGTAGTTCATACGTTAGTTTAAATCAAACGTTATTTTAAACCTCTTACTGAATCTCTCTTACTCTTTTAATAGAGCACACCTGTCCTTCATGATGTGCCACATCTTCTGGGTGCTTGGTTTACACAATATTATATCTAACTCCTCTTCGTATTCTGTCAGGGTTTTTGCCTTTCCTTCTCGTTGTTTCCTGGGCCTTTTGACACCCCTTCACAAAGGGCACACATACCATCTTCAGGAGACCTTGAGGTACCCCATGCCACTCCAGCTCAGGGGATGTTCTTCTTTGTAGTCTAATGATAACTCATGTATCGCAGAGATTCCTGTGCTACAGGGCAAACTCTGTGTAGAAGGGAGCTGTGCCTTGCTGACTGTTTTTATTGCATTGTCTGGGCAACGTTTGGCACATGTTCACAAATATTTACTCAATGAATGGATTTATGTCTTCCCATAAAGGAAAGAATGTCACAAAAATACCATTACAAGCTCCACAGAAATATTCTGAAAAATAATCAGGACTTAAGTCTATGTCAGTCCTTCATAGGTCTACAGATTACCAAAGGCTTCCCTCAAAAGTGGGATACACTCATCTTTGTTTTATGTTAAGGATAGCCTATGTTACATTAATAATTTCAGAAAAACAGTAACACATTTGGAAACAAAAAAATAGATCACTTATTCCTATATATACAATTACTTTCATATTTGTGTATTCTATGCCACATTTTTCCTTCAGAAAAATTATAAAGCTATTAAATACAACCCTTAAGATAAAATGTTTACATGTACACAACTTTACATAGATGTCTGTGTGAGTATAAATAAATAGATACAAACAAAACCTCAAGTATGTTTAGATCATGTGTATTATTCAGCTAATTGAGGAACTGGGTCAGGCAGAAATGAAAGACAGGGCCTCAGATATCCATTCTGATTAATGCAGACCTTGGAGCAGGTGGTGTGTTGGAAGACTAATATATAGTGCATAGCATACACCATTATAGTGCAGCTTTCAGGTCACACTGTCTCTGCGTACCTTGTGAAGCAGCGGCTGCCATCGCAGGTCACTCCAGTGTGGTTTCTGTCCATGCTCTAGACTGTTTTTCATTAGCTCAACAGTGATTCAGTAAGCTGTTTATTCCTGTGTAATTTCTTTCTCACTAAACTACTTTCCTGCTCTTGAATCTAGATTTGCATATGCCTCTCGTTGTCTTGTTTTGTATTAGAGTCTAGGTGTTTTCCTTGGATCTTTTTATCTGGTCATTAAAAAAGATTAATTCTCTGGTAGAGAGAAGAGGAACACCCTATGTTCCTTCCTTATAGACTTAGTCTACTAGGTGGATTTCTTTCCTTTTTTGAGGTCTCTTGTTTATATGAAAGGAGATGATATTTAGGCAGAATCCAGTAAGTTCATATGTCAGTTAATGACATAGAAGAGGATGCATGTCCTTAATTATTCTGGCTGTTTCTACCATAAGGAATATTTCATATTTTGAATTACTCAGGTTTGGATGCCAGTGGCTAACAAGACAATGGAGGTCTATTTAAGAACCAGTAAAATCTCAATTGAGAGGTAGCCTGGCCTTCCATCAGTGGAAATGAAGAGAAGACTGTAGAATACACCCCTCTAGGATATCTTTTAAAGGAGGAAACTAAGGACAGGCTGTAACAGAAATGCTTTCTAGACCTCTGGTTTACATAAATAGAAACCTCATTTCCTGACATGGGTAGCAAGAGAGGGAAATAATTGGGCAAAGGCCACGTGTGTCGAGTTGGGCAAACCTGAGATGTGCACACAGATGACAATAACTTTGAGAGGCAACAGGAGAGACTAGGCTAAAGAGATGACACTGGAAATTGTCAGTATTTGGAACTGGGTAGACCAGTTGTCTAGAGAAAGAAGACAGCAGAGGGAAAATGGCTGCTTTTGTTATTCCCCTTGTTTTATATGTGTTCAATTGGTGATGGGAAAGAATGGTACAGTGGTGGAGAATTGAAGACACTATTGCTGGAGTGAGGTTTTAGAGAAGGAAAAAGAACTAGGCTGTGAGTTGTATAAGGAAAGACTGGCCTTTTGTTGGCCAAGGGACATATTTTTTGTGACAATAGGAAGAGACCAGCAAAGGTGAGTCATGGGTACTGATAGGCTTGTGGTTTTGCCTTGGAAATCTGATGGAGTTCCAATCTGATAGCTGAAGATTAGTAAGAAACCAGGAGCTGAATGTCAGCCTGGTCCCTAAGAATGATCGCTACCCATTTTTCTGATACTATAAAGCACTCTTAGTTTGAATTAACATGACATTTACTGTAAATTTTATCAAGGGTTATTTTTAAATTATCTCTTAGAAGTCTATATTTGGTTGGAGAGACTAACATAAACCCTTACATATGTCAGAACTTAGTGAATGGCAGGTGGGGAAAGGCCCAGAGCTTTGCAGCTTTCTGCTGGGGCCACACACAAACAAGACCTGGACAGAAGAGGGGAGGGAGCAATAGGCCTCATGCCCACACACTGCTGTGCACATGTGAACACGGCTCCTCCTGAAGTCATGATGCATAATTTTTGCTTTACCGATCTTAGGTTCATTCATTCTCTTTATTAACAAAGATGACAACAGAGACAAAGAAAAATGCAACCTTGCATACTCCCTTATTTCAGTTTTCTCCCCAAATCATCTTCCTCTCAGGATACTGATCCTGTCTAGGCAGATAACTAATAATATCTAGAGCCATTGTTGAAGGCAGAGATAAAAAAGATCACAGTGAGTTCTATGAGGTTGTTAGACGCTCGCAGCGAGGGGATGCTTCCCTCTGGGAAATGAATCCTTTCTAGGGACACAGCTTCTTTGAGTGCTGTAGACTGTGGGAGGCCAAGACCCAAGGCAAGGGCCCGCTGAGAAGGAGCGGCACGGATGCTCGCCACTGCACACACCTCCAGCCGCATCCCACGGGGCATTCTTTGGCCACAGATGCATTTGCTTCTTTTGGAGTTTTAGCATGAGCTGTCCAAGTGCAGTCAGTCAGTATTAATGGAAAGAGGAGGACGGAGTAGGAAAGAGGAAGCCAGAGTACCCCACATTTCAGCTCTAGTTTCCGAAGCATTCCAAATCACTGAAGAGACTGCTGTACACCTTCTGTCTGGACCACAGAACAACTGTCTTGGGCCCTGAGGATTTCCACTCATGGGTATCTGATCTTGATGAGCCCATCACTTTGGGGAAAGAAGACTTAGATGCAACAGTTAAAAAAATAAAAATAAACAACAACAACAAAAACTCATCAAAGCAATAGCCCAGTAAGCACTGCCTTGGGAGGAACTAACTAAAGTCTGTCAGAATTAAAAAATGAAAGGTCCATGACAATAGTAAGAGCAATGGGCTGGGACATGAGGAAAGATGCTCAACGAGGAGCCTGGAAGAAAGGAGCAGAGCTGGGTTCATCAGGAAGGAAGAAGGAACCATCTCCGGGAGTTCAGGGGTTGAGACTTGTTTCCCTAGGAGCCTGTGACTAAGCCCCTTTTTAGATCGGCTTTCTGCTGGGGCCACACACAAACAACACCAGGCCCGAAGGAAGAAGGGAGCAATAGGCCTCATGCCCATGCACTGCTGTGCACACGTGAACATGGCCCCTCCTGAAGTCATGATGCATAATTTTGCTTTACTGATGTTAGGTCCGTTCATTCACTTTATTCACAAAGATGACAAGAGGCTCAGGGTGCCTGTGTTTTATGGTTGGCTGTTGCTCAGAGGCTCTCTAAAATAAAACGACCCAGGGAACGGAGAGAGGAATGATGTGAAACCATAAACCAAAGGCCACAGTGAGTAGCCTCCTGTGACTTGAAGAGGCTGGACGGGAGCCTGGGGGTCAGGTCAGGCAGCCGTTCTTCTCAGACGGCTTCTTAGTTCGTAGACCAAACAAGAGAATTACGTGTCAAGGCCTGGGGAAGTCAGGCTTCCTTGGAGCCCTGTGGGTCTGAGTATTTCATCAGTTGATAGGGATGCAGAAAGTACTTTTAGGTACCACAGATTGTGCCAAAGTTGACTAATTTCTCAGGGATACTCTTCGGCAATGGGCTTATCACTCTGAATTGACTGGCTTCATCTGTAGGCATGGTTTTCTCTCCCAGCTAAGCAAACACGTACTGATTTCTCACCACATTTTCTTTCTACTACTATTTTGTAATACTACATGGATCCTTGGAAGCCTGGTAAAGACCGTTCCCTGCGTTCCCTGCGTTCCCTGCTCCCTGCGTTCCCTGCGTTCCCTGCTCCTTGCATTCCTAAACAGCCCATTCATGGACATTCCTCGAATGGCAGTGTCATGATTACTGTTGTCAACTTGTATCTCTGGGCATGTCTGTGCCATCCTTTCTACATGGGATTAACTAAGGGACGGCACACTCACCCCGAAAGTAGGCAGTACCTGCTTCTTCCCAAACAGATGAATCCATGACAGTTGTTATGATCCTCCACTGACACCCGACTCCATACGCTGTGGCTCCCCACTACCAGGTCCCCAGGGAGCCTCCAGGACTTTAGCACTGCTTTGGAGCTGCTGAGATGGGTGGCTTCTTAAATGGATAGGTTACTGGGTTCTCCCACATGTAGCCATCATTGCTGGACTACCCACCCTTCATCTTGTAAGCCAGTTTAGTAAATCCTCCTTTTGTAAATCATAGATACCTTCTGTTGATTATGTTCTTGCACAGCCCAGCTTCTAAAACTGTGTCAGAAACCACATGGTGTTATGTAACTTAATACTGGGGTTGCAAAACTTTTTGAAAGAGTAAAAGGATTTTGAGTAATCAGCAATCAAAACTTAATTCAAACTTCAACTGGAATGGATTCGAGGTGTTTCTAGAAGCATTCACCCTTTCATCGAATTTCCATTGCAACCTTTGCTCCGACCATGCAACAATCTCTCTTTCTATTGTGTATGCCCTGTCAACGTGCGGAATGAATGTAATCCCACAGTGTATAGGTATCAAGTTTGCATACTTCTCTACTGTAATCCCACAGTGTATAGGTATCACGTTTGCATACTTCTCTACTGTAATCCCACAGTGAATGGGTATCAAGTTTACATACTTCTCTACTGTAATGCCACAGTGTATAATTAGCAAGTTTACATACTTTTGTTTTGTGCTGTGTTAGATGTTTCATTTAGAAATTGCAGTTTGGGTTGCTAACAGGTTTCCTAAAAATTGGCTTGGGATTAACATAAAGCTTGCTTGCAACAATTTATGAAGTGACTCTAAACATTTCTGCCTGCTTTGGTGTGTTTTTGCAAAGTGTTATTTTCAGCATTGGCGATTATAAAATAAAAATACCAGCGAGCTCTGAAACATGTTGAAGATGTTTTACATCCTAAAGTAACAAATGTTCATCCAAAATTTACTTCTTTGCATAAAATAGATATGTACTTCACTCTTTCACCTAAAATTGTATGTATGTGTGTGTGTGTATGTGTATTGTTTTAAAACACATTTTTATGGCTTATTATCAGTGACTGTTTGGCCAGCATGCACATCTTGTGTGTCTATATTCTTGGTGTTGTATACAGGTTTTTTTTTTAAAGGAAATTTTGTCTCAAGTAGAAAAATTTTAAGGAGTCCTGACTTATAACATGCTGCTCTCCTGCTTCCTCCAGAAATCAAGTAGTGAGTGTTGGCAGGAAAATGACAGGGTCCATAAGTTTTGTTTGCTTTTTACAGAAAGAAATCTTAGGCCAAGGGTATAGATTGGTGGTAGACTGTTTTACTAGCTTTCTTGAGGTCCTGGGTTCCACCTCAGCACCATGGATGGATAGATAGATAGATAGATAGATAGATAGATAGATAGATAGATAGATAGACAGACAGACAGATAGGCAGACACATGAGATAGGTAGATAGTAGATAGATAGATAGATAGATAGATAGATAGATAGATAGATAGATAGATAGATAGACAGACAGACAGACAGACAGACAGATAGATAGGCAGACATATGAGATAGGTAAATAGATAGATAGATAGATAGATAGATAGATAGATAGATAGATAGATAGATAGATAGATAGATAGACAGACAGACAGACAGATAGATAGATAGGCAGACATATGAGATAGATAGATAGATAGATAGATAGATAGATAGATAGATAGATAGA